TGCGACTCAATATTAATGCAGCCCCCTCCCCTATGGAAAGATACATATCCTTACCTTAATCCTATCAAACAGCAAATAGCAGCGCTTATCAGTGCTGAGTAGAGCACTTCCGTAAAAACAATAAACAGTGTTTTCCTAATTACAACACACTGTTTATATCTTTATTCTGTTGACTGGCATTAAGGAAGTTAAAGGCAATAAAATAATTGAACCAACAACAGTTCACTGATTGGTATTCGGAGAAGGTGTCGACAAACTTGAAGGCAGATGACAAGACAAGGGCTGTAGATCTGAGGAGTGTGGTGAAGCCTATCGGTGCGCGTTGGGTCATGTCGGCCTTTGACAAAGTGTTGCATGGGTGGCGTCTGTCTGGACTGCAGGGTGGTCAATGATGCTCAGTTTGACACGAGTGGGTAGAACTCCTGACCCCAGCAGTGATAACTCACCTGATGCCTATTGTGTAATTTCTATTCTTTGAATGACATTGTTATATACTTGTTACCACTGCTGCTCTTTGTACCATGTTTGTGTTTATATTCAAGTTGGCGTTTCTGCTATCCAAAGTATGCAGTGAGGCTGTCTTATTGTTGATAGTCATTTTGGAGACATAAATATGAAGTTTAATTAATGCAAGCAAAGACCACTCGCATTTTTTGCACTTAATTCAAGCTCGTGGTAATATCAGGATGTACAGTAATCTGTCCTTTGTGGTGATGAACAAGAATTCTGCTATATCCCTTAGCATAGGACAAAACAGGGTCTATCTGCCTTGGCTATGCCTAGTCCAGCGAGCACTTCTAGTCTGACTGGTAGTATCACTACCTCTGGTAGAATCAGGCAAGGAAAGCTTCTTGGTCTGAGGGATTGCCTGACAGGCACCAAACTTTAAGGACTATAATGTCTTGACAAATCCTGGATCTCAGCCTAGTCAGGAGGCCTTACAAGAAGTAAGGCCACCTATAGATCATCTGTCTCTAGAGCCTGCTTGAAAATCTGGAGGAGAGAGGGATGTGGGGTAACCAACCACACCATCCAGTCTAACGTTAGAGCTAGTCTGTGGTTGCTCCAGATCAGCCCTTTTGTCAGCAACATTTCTCCTTGGGGAACTGGCCAGCACCTATAATCTCAGATGTTGGGCATCAAGGGTTACCATGTAGCTACCAGTCAAAACCTAATGTCACAAGTCTAGGTTGTTGGTTGGTTTGTTGTTTAACGCCGCACTCAGCAATATTCCAGGTATATGACGGCGGTCTGCAAATAATCGGGTCCAGTGATTGATATCATGAGCATCGATCAACGCAATTGGGATACCCTGACATGCATCAACCAATTCAGCGAGCCTGACCACCCGATTCCCATTAGTCGCCTCTTACGACAAACATAGTCACCTTTTACAGGAAGCATGGGTTGCTGAAGACCAATTCTACACAGGTCACAAGTCTAGGAAGTGAGCTCCCACTGCCAGGCCACAACTACCACCCTCCTACCCAAAGGAAGGCATTAGATGAATCCCCATATCAGACAGAGTAGAGGCCCTAACCTAGGCAGATGCACAGTGTTGGGCTGGGATGAATCCACATTTACTACCCAGGTTCCCGACCCTACCCGGGTACCCTCTTTAGGCTAAGAGTTAGAAAGGTAGAAGAGGTAGAAAATGACTGATTGGGAATTGTTACACCGGAGCCCTCACAAAAACTATTCAGATGCACTGAAGTTGACTGAAGCTTTATGTTTACTCACTGAAGTTAACTGAAGCTTTATGTTTACTAAAACATATAAAAGTCAGAAGGAATGTGTGCATAGTAAGAAAGAAATGTGAATGTTAGCGACTTGTCGTGTGTTATTGTCCTTAAACAATACATCATATGACTAACCACGGGTCTGGGTAGTCCTGTTGGTACCTGGGTCCTACTCAGGACCCACCTGTCCCGGCCCTAGTTGGAAGAGCTACTGGCCGTTCTCTTAATGCCCAGACACCCTCCCTGATTAGGATGTCTTTGTGGAGATTGCACTCTGGCTTGAGCTGCTGGTGGCTTTTTATCTTCAGACAAAGTCAGTGGGCTCACATGCAGAGAATTGGCAAATTGCTAGCACTGACATTGGTCTTCATAGAGTCATCATGTCAACTCTGTCCCTCGTGATTGTGGATACAATTTTCTCTGTCTGTGCTTGTCGTAGGAGGCCAGAACGGATTGGGTGTTCAAGTTGGGTGACTTAGTTGACTAGTCAGCGCCCAAACGGTGTGGTTAGTTGCTCATAATATCAATCACCGGTTTGTCAGGTCCGGACTCAGTTATTTACAGGACGCAATCACACAGCTGAAATATATGCTGAGTGCAGTATTAAACAACTAACAAACAAACAAAGTTTTTCTTTGTAACCATTTGTAGACAAACATCCATTTTTTATCAGCTCTCCATCCGTAACATTCTTTATAGACTCCTCACTGTTGCAAAGTCTCTTGTATGTAGTTGATGCCAGGTCATGTATAAGTTGTCTGAATAGTCAGACCTCTAAGCTTGCATGGCACTGTGTTGTGTGGCCATGCCTCACAGAGTTATCTCCCTTGTGGGTCTACACAAGCAAGCTCCTCACAGCGATAGCCCGTTCGCGGAGCTCTCTATACTATTGCTGCCACCAGTCAAAATTCCCCACTGTGAATAGGTGGCCACAACCATGCTTGTAGTTGAACTCGCAACCGAATGACTGTTATGTTTACAAACAAGTGACAACTGTCGTGACGCCAAATACACTTATCTCTGCTAAATTACTTGCTTCGTTTGTCAATTTGAATTTCTGTTTCATTAAAACTATCGTGTTATTGATATAGTAAGAATGTAAGGGAGAAGATGGTTGATTTTCCGTTAGTCTGCAATCTCGAACCAATCTGATTATACAAACAACAAAGTAAATTCATCTGGAAAGCATGGTCAGTCGTAAACCTTTTCAAAATGAAACATGGTGGCATTCCCAAAGACATAAACAAAAGTATAAACGTTACTACATATGGGGTTAGAGGGCAAATTTCAAGATTCTTGAAATGGCCGCGCCCACACTGGTGGCAGCGATGTTACCGAGAGTGTAACGAAGGTGTCACGCGCTGGGAAGGAGCTTGTCTACACAAGGTCTGCCTGGCACCTGAACTGTGAGGTCAATATCATCGTATCCTGATTGCGTATATCTATGCTTGTAATATCAATCAGTTGATTGTCTTGTACAGATTCGATTATTTATAGACGACCGTCATATAGCTGGAATATTGCTGAGTGGGCGTTAAACAACAAACCAACCAATCAACCCTCACCTTGGATCATGATGCCTTGGTGATAACTTGGGAACATCTCCATGCCTACACATTTCCTCCACCTGCCCTTCTCCCTCAGGTACTCCTGAAAGTACAACCGATACAGACACTACAAACAGAACAAACTTTAACATAACACTGTTTTAAAGTGCATCATCATTTGCAGCAGCCTGAGGTTTGTCATTAGCTGCCAAAGGAGCTGTTGAACAGAATGAGGGCTTCTGTAAATGGCCATGATATGGAGGAATGATTGATACTGACTGATACTTAGATACTTAGATACTCCGCATTGTACCGCTGTGATGTAATATCAAACACAATAATGTCATGCTGTGCGTACAAACCAACCACTGACTTGTCATTCGTCACCACTCACCGCTTTCCGAAACCTGCAAGAAGATTTGTCCCCCTATTGACGAATGTTATGTGCAAACTATGACAAACCATTCAGAATGTGGGTATGACTTCAAGTACATTGGTCAAATAACCCCTCAGGAATAATTTTTCATTGTACATACGTCTTCCATCTAAAAACATATCCGAGATACAGTTAAATGTGTTCAATCATTCTGTATAAATACTGTATCACCGATAAACCTGAAATATATATGACATATGGGGGAAATATATCTGAGTCATTATGCAACGAGTTGACAATTCCTTTAACTATGCCCTTGACAAAACTGGCCATTCAGCATGTCCCGGAATAACATGAGTTGGGCAGGAATGACCGACTTGTATGGGGTAGAATAGGTCTTCAGCAACCCATGCTTGCCATAAAAGGCGACTATGCTTTGCATGAGAGGTGACTAACAGGATGGGTGGTCAGGCCTGCTGACTTGGGCTCACTGACTTGGTTTGATGCATGTCATCGTGTCCCAATTGCATGGATTGATGCTCATGATGTCAATCACTGGATTGTCTGGTCCAGACTCGATTATTTACAGACCGCCGTCATATATAGACCTCGAAAAAGTTTTGGAGCCCAACTTGTCCTGCAGGACAAGTAGATAATATTTTGTACTCATCCTGCAATATTTTCACTTGCCCTGTTAAAGTTTTATATTCTCCTCACAAAATTCCCCGCATCTATGTTAATCTCTTTCCCATTCAAACTCGCTCGACCATGCATGTTCCACACTTCGTTTTCTTTTTTTACAGTCATACGGTTTTGAGAATTTTTCCTTTTTTCGGTCTGTTTGTTAATTAAATCATGTTTTTTTCTCGTCAACTGTACCATCCCACCATCAAAAACTCCCCACCCCAACCCCCACCAATATATTGTATTAAGGCTATCGCTGTGAGGAGATTGACCTGCTGTGCAAACGCACTTCCTGTTTATTTCTACAGTTGCCAAGTATGATATCAACAACATCTATTTTGTTGTTATGTAGAATGAGTGAGAGATGGAAACATTTTTTAGGTTCAAAACTATCCTGCATATTTTATTGAAAACAATTAGAGATTAATTGAATACGATAAAAATATGAACTCACTCAAAGTTGTTTTGGTCAGCTGATAAATGTCTGGGTTCCAATCCTATTTAAGAATGTTTTTCAACAAATCTGATTGCAGCATTCACTCATTTTACAATGATCATTTAACAAGATAGTGTATTGAAACATGCTGTGTGACTGACAGCATGGAACATGTTCATCAGACAATGTAACCATTTCTATTCCAATCTCATCCCCAGTGCGCATCATGTTGGAGAAGATGGGCAAGACGTTGTTTTTCCGGTCCGGAGGATTCCCCCTCATACTCTCTGAGGATGAGAGGGACAAGCGAAAACAGGGTGAGCTAACACTTTTGAAACTTCTGCCAATCGGACTGAAACGTCACTGGTGAAATGCTTAGGAAATGTAGTTCCTAGACTTTTTGTCTGCAGTAGTGTTTGTTAGAGTATTCTGCTTTAGGTATTTGAATGGCTCTTTTCTGTTTGTTTAAGAGCAAAAGTAACATGTGATGACAACCTTTTGACAATAATTTTTAAAATAACTGAAATTGAAAACATGAAGCCAGGTCCATAAGCAATTCTTCTCTGTTGGCCTGCTTATAGTCCATAGTCTCTGCTGAAGTATTGTTCAGGAATGGAAGGGGCGGTGGGGTGGCCTAGTGGTTACAGGGTTCGCCTGTCACACCGAAGGCCCCATGGGTACAGTGTGTGAAGCCAAATTCTGGTGTCCCTCTGCCGTGATGTTGCAGGAATATTGCTAACATTGTTGTAAAACGAAACTCACTCAGAAATGTCAGACAGAAGCACTGAATATCGTAATGAGGACATGATACATGTTTTGGAAAATTGAAATGAAGGACCTAATGTGCATGTCTGAAAGTGACTCGCTGAATTTGGATACAGAACCTTGTTGATAGAATACCCTGTGGATACCCTGTGTATCATATTATTGTATTTTTCCCAGCCCGCTTGGAACAGATTCAGAGCCTGCAGATGAAGGAGAACACAATACCAGCACTGTCGCATCGCGGAAACGTCACACCACGTGTTCACGATGATGATGGTAATACTCACATGAGAGAATGAGAGAGAGACAGAGACAGAGACAAATACTCACATGCTAGACACACCCTTGCAGCAATACACATGCTAGACACACCCTTGCAGCAATATTCACGTTTGACACACCCTTGCAGCAATACTTACATGTTTGACATGTTCTCACCGCAATGTTCTCACATGCTGAACACACCCTCACAGAAATACTCACATGCTAGAAAAACACTTGCAGCAAACTCACATGCTAGACACACCCTTGCAGCAATATTCACATGCTAGACACACCCTTGGAACAATACTCACATGCTAGATACACTCTTGTAACAATATCACATACTAGACACACCCTTGCAGCAACACTCACATGCTGCCACCCTTGCAGCAATACTCACATGCTAGACACACCCTTGCAGAAATACTCACATGCTACAGCCTTGCAGCAATACTCACATGCTACACACACCCTTGCAGCAATACTCACATGCTAGACACACCCTTGCAGCAATACTCACATGCTAGACACACCCTTCCAGCAATGCTCCTATGCTAGACACACCCTTGCAGCAATACCCACATGCTACACCCTTGCTGCAGTACTCACATGCTAGACACACCCTTGCAGCAATACTCCCATGGTAGACACACCCTTCCAGCAATGCTCACATGCTAGACACACCCTTGGGGCAATACTCACATGCTAGACACACCCTTGCAGCAACACTCACATGCTAGACACACCCTTGGAACAATACTCACATGCTAGACACAGCCTTGCAGCAACACTCACATGCTAGACACACCCATGCAGCAATACTCACATGCTACAAACATTCTTGCAGCAATACTCACATGCTAGACACACCCTTGGGGCAATACTCACATGCTAGAAACACCCTTGCAGCAATACTCACATGCTAGACACACCCTTGCAGCAATACTCACATGCTAGACACACCCTTGCAGCAATACTCACATGTTAGACACACCCTTGCAGCAATACTAACATGCTAGACACACCCTTGCAGCCATATTCACATGCTTGACACACCCTCGCAGCAATACTCACATGCTAGACACACCCTTGCAGCAATACTCACATGCTAGACACACCCGTGCAGCAACACTCACATGCTAGACACACCCTTGCAGCAATACTCACATGCTACACACACCCTTGCAGCAATACTCACATGCTACACACACCAATGCAGCAATACTAACATGCTAGACACACCCTTGCAGCAATACTCACATGTTAGACACACCCTCGCAGCAATACTCACATGCTACACACACCCTTGCAGCAATACTCACATGTTACACACATCCTTGGAACAATACTCACATGCTAGACACATCCTTACGGCAATACTCATATGTTAGACAACCCCTCTGAACAATACTCACATGCTACACACACCCTTCCAGCAATACTCACATGCTACACACAGCCTTCCAGCAATACTCACATGCTAGACACACCCTTGGAACAATACTCATGCTAGACACAGCCTTGCAGCAACACTCACATGCTAGACACACCCTTGTAGCAATACTCACATGCTAGACACACCCTTGCAGCAATACTCACATCCTGACACACCCTTGCAGTAATACTCACATGCTAGACACACCCTTGCAGCAATACTCACATGCTAGACACACCCTTGCAGCAACACTCACATGCTGGACACACCCTTGCAGCAATACTCACATGCTAGACACACCCTTGCAGCAATACTCACATGCTGGACACACCCTTGCAGAAATACTCACATGCTAGACACACCCTAGCAGCAATACTCACATGCTAGACACACCCTTGCAGCAATACTTACATGCTAGACACACCCTTGCAGCAATACTCACATGTTAGACATACCGTTGCAGCAATACTCACATGCTAGACACACCCTTGCAGCAACACTCACATGCTAGACACACTCTTGCAGCAATACTCACATACTAGACACACCCTTGCAGCAATACTCACATGCTGGACACACCCTTGCAGAAATACTCACATGCTAGACACACCCTAGCAGCAATACTCACATGCTAGACACACCCTTGCAGCAATACTTACATGCTAGACACACCCTTGCAGCAATACTCACATGTTAGACATACCGTTGCAGCAATACTCACATGCTACACACACCCTTGCAGCAACACTCACATGCTAGACACACCCTTGCAGCAATACTCACATACTAGACACACCCTTGCAGCAATACTCACATGCTACACACACCCTTGCAGCAATACTCACATGCTACACACACCCTTGCAGCAATACTCACATGCTACACACACCCTTGCAGCAATACTCATATGCTAGACACACCCTTGCAGCAATACTCACATGCTACACACACCCTTGCAGCAATACTCACATGCTGGACACATCCTTGCAGCAACACTCACATGCTAGACACACCCTTGCAGCAATACTCACATGCTGGACACATCCTTGCAGCAATACTCACATGCTAGACACACCCTTGCAGCAATACTCACATGCTAGACACACCCTTGCAGCAATACTCACATGCTAGACACCCCCTTGCAGCAATACTCACATGCTAGACACACCCTTGCAGCAATACTCACATGCTAGACACACCCTTGCAGCAATACTCACATGCTAGACACACCCTTGCAGCAATACTCACATGCTAGACACACCCTTGCAGCAATACTCACATGCTAGACCCACCCATGCAGCAATACTCACATGCTAGACACACCCTTGCAGCAATACTCACATGCTGGACACATCCTTGCAGCAATACTCACATGCTAGACACACCCTTGCAGCAATACTCACATGCTAGACACACCCTTGCAGCAACACTCACATGCTGGACACACCCTTGCAGCAATACTCACATGCTAGACACACCCTTGCAGCAATACTCACATGCTGGACACACCCTTGCAGAAATACTCACATGCTAGACACACCCTTGCAGCAATACTCATATGCTAGACACACCCTTGCTGCAGTACTCACATGCTAGACAACACCCTTGCAGCAATACTCACATGCTACACACACCCTTGCAACAATACACATGCTGGACACACCCTTGCAGCAATACTCACATGCTAGACACCCCCTTGCAGCAATACTCACATGCTAGACACACCCTTGCAGCAATACTCACATGCTAGACACACCCTTGCAGCAATACTCACATGCTAGACACACCCTTGCAGCAATACTCACATGCTAGACACACCCTTGCAGCAATACTCACATGCTAGACCCACCCATGCAGCAATACTCACATGCTAGACACACCCTTGCAGCAATACTCACATGCTGGACACATCCTTGCAGCAATACTCACATGCTAGACACACCCTTGCAGCAATACTCACATGCTAGACACACCCTTGCAGCAACACTCACATGCTGGACACACCCTTGCAGGAATACTCACATGCTAGACACACCCTTGCAGCAATACTCACATGCTGGACACACCCTTGCAGAAATACTCACATGCTAGACACACCCTTGCAGCAATACTCATATGCTAGACACACCCTTGCTGCAGTACTCACATGCTGGACACACCCTTGCAGCAATACTCACATGCTGACACACCCTTGCAGCAATACTCACATGCTAGACACACCCTTGCAGTAATACTCACATGCTACACACACCCTTGCAGCAATACTCACATGCTACACACACCCTTGCAGCAATACTCACATGCTACACACACCCTTGCAGCAATACTCACATGCTACACACACCCTTGCAGCAATACTCACATGCTACACACACCCTTGCAGCAATACTCACATGCTACACACACCCTTGCAGCAATACTCATATGCTAGACACACCCTTGCAGCAATATTCACATGCTACACACACCCTTGCAGCAATACTCACATGCTGGACACATCCTTGCAGCAACACTCACATGCTAGACACACCCTTGCAGCAATACTCACATGCTGGACACATCCTTGCAGCAATACTCACATGCTAGACACACCCTTGCAGCAATACTCACATGCTAGACACACCCTTGCAGCAATACTCACATGCTAGACACACCCTTGCAGCAATACTCACATGCTAGACACACCCTTGCAGCAATACTCACATGCTAGACACACCCTTGCAGCAATACTCACATGCTAGACACACCCTTGCAGCAATACTCACATGCTAGACACGACCTTGCAGCAATACTCACATGCTAGACACACCCATGCAGCAATACGCACATGCTAGACACACCCTTGCAGCAATACTCACATGCTGGACACATCCTTGCAGCAATACTCACATGCTAGACACACCCTTGCAGCAATACTCACATGCTAGACCCACCCTTGCAGCAACACTCACATGCTGGACACACCCTTGCAGCAATACTCACATGCTAGACACACCCTTGCAGCAATACTCACATGCTGGACACACCCTTGCAGAAATACTCACATGCTAGACACACCCTTGCAGCAATACTCATATGCTAGACACACCCTTGCAGCAGTACTCACATGCTGGACACACCCTTGCAGCAATACTCACATGCTGACACATCCTTGCAGCAACACTCACATGCTAGACACACCCTTGCAGCAATACTCACATGCTAGACACACCCTTGCAGCAATACTCACACGCTACACAGACCCTTGGAACAATACTCACATGGTAGACACACCCTTGCAGCAATACTCACATGCTACACACACCCTTGCAGCAATACTCACACGCTACACCCTTGCTGCAGTACTCACATGCTACACACACCCTTGCAACAACACTCACATGCTAGACACACCCTTGCAGCAATACTCACATGCTACACACACCCTTGCAGCAATACTCACATGCTGGACACACCCTTGCAGAAATACTCACATGCTAGACACACCCTTGCAGCAATACTCATATGCTAGACACACCCTTGCAGCAGTACTCACATGCTGGACACACCCTTGCAGCAATACTCACATGCTGACACACCCTTGCAGCAACACTCACATGCTAGACACACCCTTGCAGCAATACTCACATGCTAGACACACCCTTGCAGCAATACTCACACGCTACACAGACCCTTGGAACAATACTCACATGGTAGACACACCCTTGCAGCAATACTCACATGCTACACACACCCTTGCAGCAATACTCACACGCTACACACACCCTTGGAACAATACTCACATGCTAGACAACACCCTTGCAGCAATACTCACATGCTACACACACCCTTGCAACAACACTCACATGCTAGACACACCCTTGCAGCAATACTCACATGCTAGACACACCCTTGCAGCAATACTCACATGCTACACCCTTGCTGCAGTACTCACATGCTACACACACCCTTGCAACAACACTCACATGCTAGACACACCCTTGCAGCAATACTCACATGCTACACACACCCTTGCAGCAATACTCACATACTAGACACACCCTTGGAACAATACTCACATGCTAGACAACACCCTTGCAGCAATACTCACATGCTACACACACCCTTGCAACAATACACATGCTAGACACACCCTAGACACCCTAGACACATAAATTTGTTTAGGATTAATTTCCAGATTATTGTTTAACATGTATTCATGAATTTTGATCAAATTAACTATAAGTCAGGTAGTGTAACTATAATACTCTTAAATATTGTATAAAGTCCAACATAGTCATTTCTATACCCCCTGTGTGAATTCCATTTCGATGAGGTCCCCAGTAGCCTGTTCTTGTCATAGGAGGTAACTTAATGGATAGGGTGGTCAGACTTGGTTGATTGTGTGGATTGTTGTCTATGATATCAATCACTAGATTGTCTCGTCCAGTCTTCATTTTTTGCAGGCCACCGTCATGTAGTTGGAATACTGATAAGTGCAGCAATAGACAACAAACAAACATTAGGTCAAGGGTCATATCATAATGACTGAAATTGACTTAGGAATAATTTTCAACAAATTACTTATGTGTGTGGTGTTAAACAACAAGCAAACGTTTCTACAACCGGTTATTCCTTCCCTAGCGATGGTGTCAAGTGAGGCCATGGACCGTGACTGCGCCATCTGCATGGATCGGCTGCGGAACTGTCTGCTGCAGCCCTGCCATCACATGGTCACGTGCTACGAGTGCTCCAAGATGCTCCACAACCGCAAGGATGGGTGCCCGATTTGTCGCAAAGATATCAACAGCATCATCAAAGTGTATCACTCGTAACTGACCTCTCGAGGTCATTTCCTGGATGTGTGTTGAAACCAAAGATCATGTCACATGGGCTTGAACGTTTGTACCTTTATTATCAATAGTACTTGAACACAAAGTTCTTCTTGAACAAACATTGAATAATGTAATCTTGGAATGATAATTGATTTTTTTTTGCTCACCTTGAAAATTGAAAAAACATTGGAGAGCCTTGAAAAAATGGATAAATGGTTTGAAAAGCTTTGAATTTCATGCATTATGATGTGAATTAAATGGCAAGTTATGATGTTGAGTAGTGAATACATGAACCCTACGTGGGCGATGACCTGTGAGTAGTGAACTTGGTTTAACAAAACTTACTTCCGTACACGAGCTAGGAAATAGTGGATCGACCCAACTCACATTTCACTGTTGTCAGGTCCTTGTATATTTCTGTATACAGGAGTCTGGGGTGACAAGGTTGTTTCAGATGCCACACTTTGCCGGTTGCATCCCATGTCAATTTGTTTCATCAAGGTTTGAATACCAGATTCACCATGGTTGTGTTGCTTGGCTTGTCAGCTAGGGCTTCAACTCGACGACTGCTAGACGGGACTCGAGTACCCGAGGGTCAGACTCGGCTCGTGCTCGAGTACCCGCAATTATACATCTGTTCAATAAAATTGGCAATTATCCTATCGTATACAAAATGAAAGAGTCCTAATCATGCTAATGACATCGTAGATCACTAAGAAAAAAATGTGATCGTGTATCAAATAAAATACCTTTGAAATTTGTATGCTGATTCGCTGAAGCTTCATTGAAATAATAATTGTCAACTTGTGATAAGAAATCGTTTACAACTCAGTGTAACACACGCAATGTTCAGGGTGAAAAAAATATTGCACACGTCACGTGATGTATGTTGCGATTGGTGATTGGCTGGATTTTGGCGGGCTGGCTTCTTGGGTATACCTTATATGATAGATAAGATCATTTGATGCCAGCGCCGAAGGAAATTGTCAATAAATGACAAAATATAGATAATAAGTTAAAAGTAACATTTTCAATGTTATCACAAATTCACAAGTCAGTATTTACCTTTAGCGTAATTGAAAACAAAACATTGAAAGATTACTAGGCTTGTAAATTTATAGTTGACTTCTATAAGACGTTTTCCCGACATTTGAAGAGATAATTAGAATGAGATACAGTAACACAATGTTAATATTCAAAAAAGTTATAAAGTCGACCAAATCAGAGGTATCACCCTTGGTCGAGTACTCGAGTCCTTCAAACTGGACTCAAGTCCCACTAAACTCGGCCCGTGCCAGAGTACTTGAATACTCTTTGAAGCGTCTTTGTAAACGTCTACGACCTGCATCACTTCAGGTTTTCCTTCTATATCCAGCTAGTCTGTCTCCCAGTCTCTAGAGAATAAATTAACAGGAATCTAACTCAAGTGTAGAATGATGAGGTAAGTCTAGATTGCCCCTGCCTGAAATTAAGCATTGGGCTCCATTTTGGACTTTTTTTCTAATTTGCAGATATATATTTATTTGTGGGACTAAATGTAAGTCTAATATCCAGCTGACATGCCATGATACAACTGAAATAAGCGTTGTTAAACACAACTCACTCACTCACTCACTCACTCACTCACTCATTACTGCACTCAGCTTTTCAATCAGATTCTTGAGTAGGTTATGTGTGTGGAGCTATGCCATTCTTGCTTGAAAAATGTTATTTTCTCAAAGACACTTATGAGGCATCATTGTAGCACCAATAAATGTTCATATTTCTTGAATTTACCATAATATAAACAATTCCGTCCAAGACCCACAGCATTAATTATTGGACCTTGTTATACCTCTATTAAGAATCTTGCAATTCCATTGGTTAATTCGTACCACGTGACCAAACAATACATGTACCGGTAGACCCCCAAATCACGTTACTGACACTGACCTCGAATATTGATGTGATGTCATGTGATGAATATTGACTCGTCTGCTAGAAAACAAGATGTCGTCTGGTACGACCATTTCATGGTTTGCAGCTAAGTTTTAAAGACTACATAAACTTTAGAGTGAAATAAAACAAGGACCCTCGAACCCTACCCCTTCGGTAGTCTGATCGAACCACTTCAAGGGTCAGGTCCTCATTTTCGCTTATTGACCTTGTCAAGGATAATTATTTTCAATGGTCCTAGAGGTGAGGGGCACAGTCCTTCATTTTGTCTGCAGCGCCGCAATACACAGTACAGAGTTGTGCACCCGATGCATGCCAGGATCCTGTGAATTTTAGTTCACCCTGATCATGTTTCTAGGTTTATCTGCACAATAACATTGTGTAGGGGTTTCACCAAAGTGGTAATCATCTAAAACAGCCACATCGCGTTAGGCTTCCTCCCAAAGCAAGCTGTCACGTCGTACTGTTCAAACCGGTGTTAAACCCAACTCACTCACTCACTCATGAGCTAAGTATTAAACACTTTTCATCTCAGCAACTAGGTTTCTCCATATCGTATCATCATAGTACTGCTGTATCATTTTAGACCTAATTAATTATTGAAGCCCATTTCCAGTCTAGGTTCAGATGTTGTAGTTAGCCCATGTGTGAAGTTGACACTAAGTTCTATCTAAACCCATGAAGATCCGGTTAGACATGATCTTTAGCATCCTATACTTGTCGTAAGAGGCGACTAGAGAGATCGGGTGGTCAGGCTCAGTGACTTGGTTGATGCATGTCATCGTATCCTGATTAGTTACAAACTGCTGTCATGTAGCTGGAATATGGCTGAGTGTGGCGATAAACAACAGACATGAATGTGTGAAAGAACTATGTTTATGATGTATTTCATCAAATATGGACCAGTAGAATGGGAACATGTATTGTTAGTCTGTACCTACTTAGGGACAATCACATGGTAGATGGAGCATTTGTAGTGACGAAGACAAGGATGAACATCTAATAATATATTTATTGTTGCCTTATACCAGTAAGTAGAAAAGCAAGCCTACAGTCATCTTCCCAAGGTAAGGAAAGTCCAGTTTCCACCCTTGCTGAACTAGGCTTGAATTTTTGGGCTCAGTTGTAGCGCCACCAGTGGCTATTACGAGTTATGTCCTATGTTATGTTCTATGTCCCTCCTCTTGACCAATCAGATTCCACCTTAGACATCACTTGTATTTAAATCAAGCAAAATGGCGACAATCTGACTGATAATCAAGATCTAGATTGTAATGAAATGGGTCTTACCTTGCAAAGTGCATCACATAGCATCAGCACCTTGATTAAAAACATAAAAGATTTGGAAAATGTCTGTTGATGGCGAGTACACATGCTTTGCAAATCCTGCAATCGACTGAAATCTGCTCTGCGGCTTACAAACCAGATGTAGATTTTGTTACGCGATTTTGATTGGACTATGCTAAGACTCCATAATTCCAGCCTAATCCGGTAAGGGTGGAAACTAGACTTTTATAGTCAGTTATCTCCCTTGTCTGGGGAAGATGGTCAACAGTGAGCTTGTCGTCATTGTTGGTGTAGTTATTGAGTCACTGCTGTCTGTTACACACACATCACACTGACATAATGTGTATCTGCCACACTAAAGGTTCTTCTTTGATGTGATTTTCCAAATCTAAAGCGTCATTATATATATGTATTTATAATGTAAGGTCCAATATATTTTTGTTGTCATACATATTGTCTGTGATATATTATGTTTTTGTTGGTTTAGATATTGTTTAATTTATTGAATAAAATGTTTGAAATGCAAGAAGGTTATCCTTATCTTATTCAGATAAGACAGTTTGTATGTCAGTGTTGTCGTCACTATATGAGAGGCCCCTTAGTTTGCCCTGTCTAACTCTTTGTACCTGAGACCGCCTCCGTGGTCTAGTGGTAGAGCGTCCGCCCGGAGAGCGAAAGGTCCGGGATACGATCCCCGGCCGCATCATACCAAAAGACGTTAAAAGATGGTACTTGTTGTTACCCTGTCTGGCGCTCGGCATTAAGGGGCTAAAACAAGGACTGGTCGGCTCAGAGTCAGTATACTGTGTCTGAGTGGGGTATTCATGTTAAACTGCGGCATGGTATCTCAGTGTGCCAGCACTATAAATCGACATCAGTCCAGACTAGTACATGCAGCCACGCACATAAACACACATGCATGCACGTCGCTATATAAGTGCAATAATCTTGGACACGACGTTAAACCCCATTTCACCTCACCTCACTTCACCTCTTTGTACCTGGTGCCAATGGGGAGCTGGGTTAAAAGAGGTCCCCATTTCCCCATGCTTGTCACCAAAGCCGACAAACAGTTGTCAGACTCGTGATTTAACTGATTGTGTGTCATTATACGCCGTTGTTTCCCAATCTTTCAAATTCTGGTTTGTTGCAGACTCAATTTTATGGGCCACTGCAAGAATACTAGCCTGTCTGTGTGTGTGTGTATTGCTAACCAATTATCCAAAATGATCCCCACTTCTGTTTTCTCAATATATTCTGACATACTTGATTCTTTTTGTCAGCTTCTAAGCTTGACTTCTCCATGGTGATCGATGCTCTGTGTTGTAAACCTTACAGAAGCAAGCTACTGCAGCAACACCAAAAAAAACAAAAAGTTGTACTTTGAATATACATTATTGCTTTATTGTATATATAAACGTTAAATGGACATGGTATTTCTTTACAAAAATAGTTGCACTATGAATGGTGATACATATATGACATGGACATAACATTCTGTGGACACATTTCTCTGTATACATGATGTTCCCTAGACATTTTTCTCTGTATGCACGATGTTCCCTGGACATTTTTCTATGCATACATGATGTTCCCTGGACACATTTCTATGCATACATGATGTTCCCTGGACATTTTTAAATAAATGATTATCCCTGGACACACAATATATAGGAAAGATGTAGATGTGAAAATAGCTACAACAATACACCATGCTTTTTGTCACTGAGAACATCTTTCCTGGAGGAAAACCAAAAGAAGTCATTAATATAAGAATTTGCATCTCCCAAAGAGAGGACAAAGGCCTATTTTGCTTATAACTGTAAAAGCATGTGTTTATTTAGGATATAAGCTCCATGTTTAAAATTGTTTGTGCTGAATAATAAGGTGTTTCCTAATAAGGGTATATGATCATGTTTAAAAGTGCTCTTGACAAGCCTTGATCAGTGCTTGGATTTCAAGAAAAGTGGTTGAATATTTATATTTCTATTATTCTAAGGATTGTGAAGATTGGGCTTCACAAATGTTACTATAATGCCTAAATTCTGTATTAAGTCTTGGAGTATGTCAAGCATTCAACTTACATATTGTTCGAAACTAAGTACCTGTGAAGAGAATGGCACGCATAGCAGAGTTACCTCCCTTGTCCGCCTCTTCCATTTGGAAGAAAATAATGGATTGCGTCAAATTTAAAAAGGGCAATTATACTAAGTTGAGCTACTTAATTTTAATAATATTTCTCAATTACAAGTTGTGGGAATAAAATGACATTTTACACAAAGAAGTGGAAGACAAATATACTGATGGAAAGAATAAAGGGATCACATACAAGAGAAGATTTTCAGTGACATGACATCTGAGTAAGTGAGTTTGGTTTTACGCCACTTTTAGCAATATTCCTGCAATATCACGGTGGGAAACACCAGAAATGGGCTTCATACAATGTACCCATGTTTTGAATCGAACCCCGGTCTTCGGCGTGACGAGCGAAAAGCTTTAACCACTAGGCTACCCGACCGCCCCTCATGACATCTGAGAGGTACCGGACAATAACTGGCTGTCTTGGCAATGTGACCAACCACTAACATGTCATTGTGCGTGTTTTGCTTTAACAAGATGGATATATTCTGAGTTCAGCAGTGAATGTCTACAGCCATATTGTCAGCTCTTAGGTTATCTGTAGCCATGCTGGTATGTATGTCACCCGTTAGCCCCTGGCAAGGCTTCACCTAGGCTCGTGACACATAGCGATCTTAGTGCTAAGATGAACAGAACGCACACAAACTTACGATAGCTGTAGTGCTGAGATCACTTTGTGGATGGGCTTGCACGTTTTCCTGTTAAGCGACGTTAATGCTAAGATAAACAAACTCCCATACTTTAACACAGACTTGTGGCATAGCGCTAAGATCATTTTGTGCAGTGGCTCCAGGATATCATTCCACAAAGCGATCTTACCACTACGACTATCATAGCCAGTGTTAAAGTATGGGAGTTATGGTCACCTTAGCGCTAAGATGGCTTTGTGGAACAGGGCCCAGGGCCTCATACACCACAAGGGGATCTTAGTGAGTCAAGTATTATAAGTATGAATTACAATGATCAAGGCACTAAGATCAGCACAAACATCAAGGACTAAGCTGCACAGTTGATCACCAAATACCGTAGTAATCCTAATATGTTATCTATCTGTTTGGGAAAGTTAGAGTCGGTGTATTCATAGTTTTACACATTACAATAAAAAACCTCATTGATTTCCATGTCAAGACATAATTTGCTGGGCATAAAACAGTTGCATGATATGAGGTATGGCTTACACATGTAAGAGGGGCACGGGTGGCCCAGTCATCTAAGGCGCTGCGATTCACTTGGCAGAGTTGCATCCCTTGGGCATGCAAGAAACCTATGATTGTGGGTTCGAATCCTGGTTCGCCCTGATTATGTTGCTAGGTTTGTCAGCAACATACCCGTTCGGGTTTCACCGAAGTGGTAAACGTGTGAGACCTGCATCACTGAGGGTTTTCCTCCCACGCCGTGATATAACTGGAATGTTAAAAGCAGCGTTAAACCCCACTCACTCACTACACATGTTAGGTCAATCTATGTCCATGTACAACAAAGGGTTGTTGTATATCTGTGCCGAAAATATTGAAGTTACAAACAAAATAGTCTCAAATATGTGTTCATATGTTTAGATTTGTTTTTCAAATCAGATCTAACATACAGAAAAGCAGCTAATGACATACAGAGGTGTAAGGCTGTAAACAGATTATGAAAACATACACATAAACAGAAAATGAGGTAAATGATACTCTCCATAAAACATATCACAACTCAATGAAGCATGAATGATGTGTCATTGGCTATAGGTATAACGGTGATACGTGACCATGATTATGATGAATACCTTAAATATACTGGTATTATTACATGTGTATCATGTATATCATCTATTTCTACAGGGATATATCAGGCATCACTGTTTAAGTAGTTGTATGAAGTAGTATCTTGGACTAAAATATTATGTTTTGTATTCATAGCTTACCAGAAAAGGACCATAACATCTGGTAAAATAACATTAAAGAAACAAATCTGTTATAAACATCTAACATAATTTTCATATCAATGTTGATAATAAACTTTTAAAAGAAATATGAATGCTCTAATGGTTTGCTCTTATGATTGATATTCTTTTGACGTTTCATTTCTTTTTGTTGTATATTTGAAATTATTCAAAACAATAACAAAAAGTTGGAGAAATAAGCTATTGTCCATGATACTACATTCTTTCCGCATTTAATAATCCATGTTGCCCTTGTTCTCATATTTACTGCTCTTATGTCTATGTACAGAATACAGTATATATCTTTGATAAAAATAATAACATATATATACATACATGATATATATGCATGTTTGAGAATATATTTGTCTGACAACTTGTGTCTATATAATTTGGTTATGCAACAACAGAAGCCAAAATATGTAGAAAATATGTACATTAAATATTTTTACAGTTGATGTTGATCCAATACAAACTGATGTTTAGATCCTTCTATGGAAAACTATACATCATGAACGATTTTGAAATTACAATTTCAGTAAATATTTCTCTAAAAATTCAGAAGCTTGTATAACTTTATAGCGCATACCAATTTAACATTGAAGTAGAAATTCTTCTTATATTGATGACTTCATGCATTGTGAACAACAAAACTATATTGTTTCTATAGTAACAAACATTGTAATTAACAAAATGCTGCCTTTTCCATATTAATTGAAAAACATCAACTGAGGTAAAAAGTCATCATGCCCTCCAAAACACCTCCTAACCGTAAACACGATTGACGTGAACCCAACCCAATTGTACCGTAATAGAGTTAAAAATTTATTTCTTTTAAGGCAAGACTTTATTTTTAAATTGGTTTACGGATTTACTGTATAAAAATAAAATTGGAAAAAAATATATCAGACAAACACTTTGTAAAAAATTACAAATGCAAACTCCCTTGTTCATGATGAAAGATGTGCATATGATAGGTTGAACTTTAAAGGATAAAACAATAATCTCAATCATATTTAAATCAGATCTTAGTTCTCACTACTACTAAACAAGCGTTAGTGAGCACTAAGATCTGATTTTAATGAGATTGCAATAATCTGAAAAGAATTGTTAATTTTGTTTTTGTTCCCACCTACCAACAAGATTTTTGTCAAATAGAATCTGTAAACCAAAAATAAAAAAGTCAAGCCTAAAAAACATTTACTGACTACGTTGCATATTTAGTATTAATCAGTTGCATATTAACTCGATTATTGCACACTTATATACTAGATCCAAAGGAAAATAAATGGATTATTTACAAATACATATTTGCATAATATTTATCGAAATTATTACATGAGAGTTTAAGTATTGGCATGTTTAAATTCAATACCTTTAAACCAGCTTTTAAATAAAACAAATGTGTTTCATACACATAATAAATTTTGCAAAATTATCCTGTACATCACTTTCTTATTCTCATGAATAAACCTCAGTCTGGATATAAATAGATAATATATCAAATATATAACAAACAAACTATTATATCAACAAAACACATCCTCACACCTCTCGTCAAATCAGTTCTTCAAAAGGTGGTCTTCTCATTGAAGCGCACATAAAATATCCTTTCTTGACCACAGCCATGTCCACATAGGCAAACAGTGGTCACACCAAAAATCACATCTCATTTCGGACCAATACATGAAAATTAACAGCTGAATTCCATGATATCAAATCCATGAAAACATTTCATGATCTTTTTACATATAATAATAACTCGATCTGTTCCCCCCAATAACAATCAACTAGCTGAGTATTGAATATAGATATGGAAGGTAATCTCATTGCCATATTGCTTTATAGTGCACCATACCCAGTGCTCTGGAACATGAGATACTACTGGCCATCTCTCAGTGGATTACAAATATAAATTATCATAGTACTAGGGCTGGTACGGGTAACTCGGGTCCCCGGGTCAGGTGGGTACTGAGTAGGACCCGGGTACCCACAATACTACCCGGACCTGTTGTTAGTAATGTGATATATTGTTTAATGACAAAAATTATCTAGAACTCTATGGTTACACCACAAGTCACTAATGTTCGCATTTCTTTCTGACTATGCACCCATTATTTCTGACTTTTCATATGGTTGAATAAAGATATAACTTGAGTCAACTTCAGTGTTTGCATGACCAGATTGTTTAATACATGTATCTAAATACATTTTGCCTGGGCTATGGCAAAAAGAATCCCAATCAGACATTTTGTACCCATCTCTTGAGACCTAGAGTGGGTACCCAGGTAGGGTCGGGTAATAGGGGGGTGGGTACCCGGGTAGTAAATTTGGACTCGTCCCAACCCTACATCGTACATTGTCCATGTGTGACTGATAAAGATTACTGGTTATTGAATGAACGCCCCTTGGACTGGACACTCAGTGCATTGGAACTGCATAATGGAGACATCATGAGAATCTGTTGAGTATACTTCTTGAGTCAACAGATTCAAGTGATTTCTGCAACTTCAAGGATGTTATGGTTGATCTATAATTTTGCATAATGACCTATAATTGTGTCAGTTTTACTTGTTAAGATGCACATTCAGAATGGCCAGTGAATTCCTGCTTCAAATCAACTGCAACAACGTGACGTCATTATGTTGGTTTAATTTCAAAGAATTACTAGATTCTTGTTGCCATGGTTACCTTGGAACATGTTCATGAAGATTCTCACAACATTCCCACAGACAATCACATGCCATTTTCACAGACAATCTCACACCATTCCCACAGACAATCTCACACCATTCCCACAGACAATCTCACACCATTCACACAGACAATCTCACACCATTCACACAGACAATCTCACAACATTCACACAGACAATCTCACAACATTCACAAAGACAATCTTATAACATTCACACAGACAGTCTCACAACATTCACACAAACAATCTCACAACATTCACACAGATAAACAACAAATAATCACATATACAATCACACAACAATCAATCTCAAAAACAATTTCCTAATGATTTTCACAAACCAAAACAGTTTATCAAAGCGGGTGAAGTTAAACCTTACAATCTTACAGTGAATTGGATCCCATAATTATTGCCATGTGGAAAGACATCATCATGATCAGTTCTTCAGGTCACCCATCATCTTATTAGTGACACAGTTGGGGCCATCTGCTTCTATAAGCCATCTAGTGGGTCTAATGACCCATAGGCTTGGGCCATCTCCTGTAAATGAGCTAGCCTGGGTCATCTCATTCCAGAATAAGCTTGAGCCATCTCCTGCTATTGGCCTAGGTTGGGTCACTGCATGTCACTACATGTGACACGAACCCTTCACTGCATGTAACATCAACCCTGCAGCCTATCATCTCCTTTGCAGGGTAGCCATGACAGTATCACATAAGTCAGGCCTGTTTTTAAAGGGCTTTTATGCATGTACATCCACTGAGCCTTGCAACAATGTAATGACTCCACCTTAGCAGTGATACCATCTGATTCCAACCAGCCAGCCATTCTCAGCCTATTCAACATCACATACTGCTAGAGGTCTTGAAGTTGTATATATTTCCACCCCTGGAATCCTGAAATTGACAGAAGCCAAATCTGGCAATGTAGTCCTCCAATACCTGATTCCACCTCACTGCATACCATAGGACTACACACTGCATGCACAGCCCTGGGTATCATTCTGTTATTGATTCATCTCACCAACATATTCTATTGAATGCCATACCCTGAGCACAACACACCCTTTAATGGCCACTGGGTATCTTTGGCTTACTGAATCTGTCTACACAGAGGTCCACTCTCCTGGCTTCAACACTCGACATCCTCATCCTCGTTGGCCTCCATGGACAGTTTTATGCTGTAACTCCCCTTCTTGTCTGACGATATACTACTTCCGAAATTTTTCTCCAAAGATGGCAGACCATCAATATTGTTGTTCTTTAACACTGTTCGTTCTGTGGAACTAAACTGAAGACTCTGCCCATTGGCTGTTTCTGGTGGAGAAGCACTCCTGCTGGTCACAGGAGACAGGGCATCAGACATGTCCGACAAATTGGCCAGATTCTCCCGAGGTGCAAACCTATCTGTGGCTTTCTTTATCACCTTGACTGAGTCTGAATCTGAGTCGGATCCTATGACATCCGATTTGATACTAATGTATCCCTCACTGGGCACGTTCTGTCCCGTCCAGTCACTTGCAGAGGCATTGTGGGGAATGTCGGTAAATGAGCCAGAGCGCACAAGTCTCTTACCCGACCAGTCCAATGATTCTATTCTTTCACTTGAGGTACTGTTTTGATTATCCCTGAGCAAAGATCCCTTATCGTCTCTCTTATCAGAAAGTCTTAGGTCATAAGACATAGTTCTGGCTATATTGCTTTTGTTAAGATCGACAGCTCTGGGCAAACCGGTCATAATATCATCTCTTATTTCATATGCTATTCCCTTGGGTGAGGTAGGGCGATGCTTTTCAGGAATTTCAAAAGGCTGAATGTCATTATCATTCCTCCAGTTGAGAGCTGATGTTCCGGGAGGCTGGGCATTCATGGAAATAATTTGCTCCAGCATTTGCTCGTCTAGCTCTGGAGGTTTCTTTTGATTATCTTTATTCTTCTTATCCACAGACACATCCGATTTGGGAGCTGAAAAATTTGCTGAAGACTCTGCAGCCACAATTTCTTCATGAATGATTCTTGGTGGGGGAGCTGAAGCATCTCTTTTAGCTACAGAAGCCTCGATAAAGTCTTCAACCACTGGGTCTCCCTCTGGAGACTTAGGTCGAGCTGTTCTCATGCTCAGACCAAGTGTCCCAAAGTCATCTACAGGAGATGGAGGTCTTTGTGGACTAGAGTCCTCCATTTCCTTTGCGGTAAACTCAATATTGTCACTACCAATATGAATCTCCCTCTTTGCAGTTTCTCGCACAATTTCATCTTCCGTGACCTCCTCTCTGTCGTCCCAGGTTCTCGGGGCGCTCTCAACACTCTTGACGGCTGAGGACACTATGATGTCCTCCAGGACAACATTCTCCATCTTCACAGGAGACTTGACATCAAAGGAGAACTCTGGTTGGATGAGGGAATCAGATGACATGGTACTGTTAGGGCTGGTGCTGCTGGACGGGCGCTTCCTGCGCTGAGGCTTTGTGGGAGTTTTCGGTGTGGTGTTCAGCTCTGTTGACACTTCGGCTGACACCTCGGGGATCTTCCCATTACCGACCGCCTCTGTTCCAGTTGCCTCGGGATCCTTCAGGTCAAGCATCTGATCCATGAGACTGGCAAATTCCAGAGCAGCAGAACTGTTGATGTTCCGCTCACCAACAGAACGTTGCACAGATGATTCTGATTTGGCTGACTGCTCAGCAAAAACAGGTTCTTCTTTTTCTTGTGTAAAATCTGAATTGGGAAAATCTTCATTAAAGTCTTCATCACTGCAAATACTAAACAGTATATGAACATCACTGCTAGGATCATAATCTTAAGATTAAAATTTGTTATAGTTGTATAGTCCTAATAAGGCCAGGCCGGTCTGTTGACCTTTTTTATAAACATAACCAAAGTTTCTTTGAAATATAGCACACAAAAACTGTGTTTTAGATAATAGACTTTGTGTTTTGTTTAAATTTTTATATTTTTATTATTTTTACTCAAATCAACCAAGATCAATTCTTACAACATTTTCTTCTTTCTGCTTATTGACATTATGAAACAGAAAATGCATTCAACTAGAATTGGTATTGGTCAGACCTTTTTGCTTTTACATATTTTGTCTGAACTTGATCCTAAAAAACTGTAACACTAGTTACTGAAACAAAATAACAATTACCATATTTTCTTGAAATATAGTTTTTAAATACTGAATCACCTAGAGAGGTGTGAGCATAATACTTAATATGGTGATAATTAATTGTTTGAGCATGGCATAAACATCTTGAACAGCTTAACCATTAATGCCATTGTAACAGATGGGTTCCTCAAAAGAACAGAAGAGCAATGGACACCCTTACCAAAGTTTGGGATCCCAATATCCGGGAAGTCCAGCCCTGACCTCTTCTGACCTTCAGCTTCTGTGTGGACTGTAACATCTGACAGTGTTGTGTTCATATGACCATTCGGTGTTGTGAAGTCCACTACCCTCTCCTGCCTAGGTTTGTTATCTGGCGACTGACCATTTGCGCCCTCATTCAGAGCCTCACTCTGAAGTTCTTGAAGCTTCTTTGCTCTTGCAGAATCTTTTCTGGTTTCCGGTTTCATCTCACTCAATGTTCGTTTGGGTTTGAAAAGTGGTTCTTTGCCAATGCGTTGAAGAGCATCAAGAGATTGACTTCGATAGAGGGGGTGACTCAAGTTCTCGTTGGAATCGGACAGGCGGCGGTCATTGACCGTTGCCTTCTCCTTCTGAAGAGTGACCTTGACCGGGTATGGGGATGCATAGCTCAGGATAGTCAGAGCATCTTCATAGACCATGCTGTCAAATGAGATCGTGACACTCTTGATACGGTCCCCTGTGGAAAGAGTTACAATGAAATGAGTCGGATAGTATGATTGTACACCTTAACGTCAATATTTTCAGTTTGAGTAAATGCTTCACACCATCATTTGGCAAACTAGAATCTTAAAAATACTTGCGAGTAAACAGAACACCTACCAACTTTGACCTTGCCTGACTCTATCGCTGGCCCTCTGTTGTGGACGTGGCTGACGAAGATGCCATCACGCATGTTACCGGAGATGTTGAAGCCGAGGCCGATGAAGTCCTGACTCTGAAGCCACACACTGATCACCTCCGGGTCCTGCAGCATGAATTCAACATTACAACACGTAACCAGAATCATAAATGACTCAACAAATACAGTATCTCTCTTTCTTCCCCAAATGTTTGTTTTTTAATGTGACACTCAGCAATATTCCAGCTATATGATGATGGTCTGTAAATATTCGAGTCTGCACCAGACAATCTAGTTATTGACATCATGAGCATCAATCTACACAATTGGGATACGATGACATGCATCAACCATGTCAGCGAGCCCGACCACCTGATCCTGTTAGTCGCCTCTTACGACAAGCATAGTCATCCGTTACGGCAAGCGTGGGTTGCTGAAGACCTATTCTACCCCGGATCTTCCCCAAGTGAGATATGTAGGATGATGTTTTTTCAAGATATTTAAGATAAGAAAACGATTTGAGTTATTGAAAAGGTTTGGTGAGAAACCTCCTTGAACAATAATTCAGCTCTCTTACAGCATGTCAGGTTATGGCGGGAAGAAAGGCTGAAGTGAATCAGGTCATGGAGGTTCACCACTTTGTTCAAACCCTAATGCATGGGTATGGTGCTGACAAACCATGATCCATGATCAGAGCAAATCCTGGGATTCAAACCACAACCAGGGGATTCTTGCACAGAAACTAGTGGTACTTGGCCCACTGAACCACCCTTGCTCCACTGATTTGAGCTGATTTTTTCCTTCTGATACTTTGGATAGAAATTATAGTGAGTGAGTGAGTATGGTTTTACGCCCCTTTTAGCAATATTCTAGCAATATCATGGCAGGGGACAGAAATGGGCTTCACACATTGTACCCATGTCGGGAATCAAATCCGGGTCTTCGGAGTGATGAGCGAATGCTTTAACCACTTGGCTACCCGACCACCCCGGAGAGAAATGATAATTCTGAAGAACAAATATGTAGTTGTTGTGATCTTATATAAGACTTTCTAACTGGATTTTGCCATTTTCTCTAAAAGTATGACCAAGTGTGTATTGATTTATATCCCTACCAAACATTTGAGTTTGGATGATGATGTCATGAATGAAATGAATTAAAATGGAACTTGTATAACGTCACGTTATATATTGCCAGCCTGCATATAATCTAGGTCAAACAAACCAGTGGTTGACAGCATGAACAACAATCCATGTTGTCAGGGTACACTGACAGAGCATGGGTCACTGTGTACCAATGTGTCTCAGAATATCAATACCAAAATAATATCTGAATTGAAACAGATCATATAAAAAAAATGTGTTGAGGTGAACATGAATACTTATAAAGAAGAATTAATAATATTGAACTCTAAATGCACAAATGACTGATTTAAAAGCTTATTGCATGTTTACATAAATAGAATCAAACTGTACAACCAATAGTATAATCTCTCAAAAATGTATTAGTTATTTATTATTGCCTAATATAAACTTGAGATTAACAAGTAATTAGAAGTTGTGACCATATCAGTATCTGACAGAAACAACATAAAATATGAAGCCATCTTTCACATTGCAATGATATACATACTTGAGTTAAAACATTTTTTTAATGCGAAAAACAATGTTTGAAACTAAAATTAGATTCTTGGTAGGGTGCTTTCTGTCCAAGTGAAACACTCAGATAATGCATGTGATAGTTGAGAATGCGTTTGTGCTCAGAAAACAAGGTATTCTTGACAACTAACTATTTTCAGCATAATTAAATATGTCTTAAAAATAACCTAGAGTTCTGATAGTGGTGAGATAAAATCATTACAACTAGAACACTAAGAATACTATTAGCTCTGAAAGCATTCTATGCTGGAGCTCTCTAATAAAAAAACATCTATACCACTATCATTCCTTGGGAAAAATTGTATTCTGGGAAGATCAAAGGGCATAGAATTTTTGTTTTTTTATTTCCCCTCGGTTGAAGTAACCTTAAAGAAATGATAAAGCAGACTGTCAGCAAATTGTCTGAACAATTTGACTGACACATTTAAAGCAGTGTGAAAACCACTACAATTGAGAATCCATGCTTACAAGTGCACTGAAGCAGGCAAATGGCTTACACAAGTTTAATCCTCTGAAGTATTTGCTCTGAAAATTGCCCCATCTTTGGGGATATTCTCCCTTAGAATGTATGCAAACTTGACACAAGTGTATTTTAACAATGAATGTTTTCTTTGTAACCCAAGACTCCATACTATCATTTGCATTCCCTTGCTGACTACCTGTCAAGCTCAGCCATTTAAAAGTGTACCCAGGTGTTAGGAGACTATCATATTTTACAGTAATGTGTTTGATAACATTATCTGGACAACAAATGACACTATTAGGTAATTTCTATGGCAGTTTGGCCCCGCATTTCTCATACTTCTTTCATAGTATGGTTCATTATTCATTCCATAAATGTGACATTTTCTCAATGGCATCAGCAACACTCTCTGTCCTCGTCAAGGGTGGTAGAGAATAAACTTGCTGTTGTGGAAAACACTGTCGTTGAGGTGAAATTGGGTTTACTGTCGCGTTTAAGATTATTGCACTCATATAATGACGTGGATTCATGTGTGTGTGTGTGGCTGCTGGTACTAGTCCAGACTTTTACCAGCTTTATAGTGCTAGCCTACGGAGATACCATGCCACAGTTTAACAAGAATACCCACTCACAGTATACTGAGCCGACCAGTCCTTGTTTTATTGCCTATTGCCAAGCAGCAGGCAGGGTTACAACAAGTACCATCTTTTAATATCTTTTGGAATGATGTGGCCGGGATCAACCAGCAATCTTGGGCAGACGCTCTATCTAAGGATGTCGTAAAACACTATCACACTACTAGAAGCACATTAGCAAATAAGCAAACTGTCATTTATTCTGACGTTCTTCTGTTAGTTTTTAGGGACTAAACTACAAGTAGCAGAGAAGAGAGCGGCAACATACCTGCGACCTACAATTGGCTCCCTGGACAAAGAACAACGTTATGATAGGTACACGTCTGAGTGAGTGAGTGAGTATGGTTTTACGCCGCTTTTAGCAATATTCCAGCAATATCACGGGGGGGGACACCAGAAATGGGCTTCACACATTATACCATTGTCGGGAATCAAACCCGGGTCTTCGGCGTGACGAGCGAACGCTTTAACCGCTAGGCTACCCGACTGCCCCTGTACACGTCTGAGTCACACCTTAGGACTGTAAGTTTTGGTTTTGTTTGTTATTTTAAGCCACATTCAGCTACATCACAACGGTCTGGGACAGACAAACCAGAGGTCGATATAATGAACATCTTCGGGGAATGATGACACGCAATCAACCAAGTCAGAGTCTGACCATCTGATCCATGATCTCACCTCTGACAACAAATGGTAGGGCAGAAATAGGGGGCTCTTTTTGGAATATTATTTAAGTGAATAAAAACAGAGTTGAAAGATAAATTTCTCGGTTTATGCTGACAGCCTAAAATGTTTATGTACGACAGAAATAATTTTCCAGAATTTATTTTCCCATAATTAAGTGTGCATATAAGACATGAGTGCGTATTATACACGAATAAATAAGTCTTGTGTACATTGATCTATCGGAAGGGGTGCTAATTGGGATAGTTCACTGGCCAATATATTAGCAAATATCGCCGTGGGCGCTTATTAGAGCGGGGTGCTTATTACGTCGAATACGGTACTCCTGTTTTTCATAGCATGTCACCTTAATGTGGGTGGAAAGACTGAAGTGATGCTGGGATTACAAGGATCTTTCTAATCAGACAATCATCATTGAACACCATAACTGATTTCTGTCTCTCAAAAGCAACTAAAACAACAAGTTCTGAATGCAGATAAATAAGTCTGCATCATTTTGCTGTTGTGGATATCTTTTACACCCTCTGTGGTTTCTGAAGCCATGACATCAAGAAAGTACCATTGAAGGAATATTTGTGTTCTGTTCAAGTTTTCCTATGTACAGATTTTTCTAATCAACATGATAAAGAAATGAAGCCAAATCATTTCAGGAAGCTGACATCTGATTGGCTCAAGAACCATGCATCCTTCTTTTTGATTGGGTGGTTTAAGTTTGCTCAGTGTATGCCTGAGGTGACCTCCTACGAAGATGTCCTCAGATCTTCATGCAGAGTGTTAATGTATATGAGTTAAATATCTGATTTTAATGCGATTGGTATATCAAGTTAAAGATAGTTATCAAGTCATACTAAAAGCCTAGAAGCCCTGAAGTTGCACATGGCCTAGATATGTCACAGTGGAATGTTGATTAGAAGTATCACACAAAACAAACAAGTAACTGAGCAAACTTTGGATAGTGTCCTGTAGTCCTGTTACACCAACACCCAAATCGTTTGTGGTATAGGCATTTGATGGCTACCGTTAAACCAGTGACGTGTTTGTAGCGAGTGGTGATTTTTCAAAGATGTTTCTGACATTACAGTTAGCCGTGGTCTAACTTGAGCCAGAATTAAGGTTTGCAGTGAGCACTGGAAGCAGAAAAGATCCACTGATATGGGTGAGTGAGTGAGTGAGTGAGTGAGCTAGGTTTAACACCGCTTTGAACCTGTATTACAGTAATATCACAGCATGAAACTGGAGTGAGTGAGTGAGTTGGGTTTAACGCAGCTTTCAGCAGTATTCCAGTTATATCACGGCGTGACAGCTTAATGTGGGAGGAAAGCCCGAAGTGATGCAGGTCTCAGATGTTTACCACTTCGGTGAAACCCACGAGCACGGGTATGGTGCTGACAAACCTAGAAACATAATCGGGGCGAACCGGGATTCGAACCCACAATCATAGGTTTCTGGCGTGCCCAAGGGACGCAACTCTGCACGGCGAATCACGGTGCCTTAGATGACTGGGCCGGCCATCCACCGCATGAAACTGGAGGCCAGTGATGATGATCAAGACATTCACCACTTTGGTGAAACACATGAGCACGATAAGGTGCAGAAAAACCAAGAACCATAAAAGGGCGAATGTGGGATTCAAACCCATGATCAGCAGACTCTGGAAGTGCTAAGGGACATAACTCTGCAATTTCAGCAATTTTGATGATTGTGCCTCTTTGACATCTTTTGTCATTTCAAACTTACACAATTTACCCTAATTTATGTATGGTGATACATATCATATTGTGAAGAAAATATTGTGATCATTCCGGACAGTAACCATGGTGATGACATAAATGATTAGGACACATTTATAATGAGCAAATTTGGCACCAAAAAAAAGAGATTTATAGACAAAGGAATATACCGAAGTATCTGGCTGCTATTGAAATAAATTGAGTGTGAGTGAGCAAGGGAGTCAGGTTTTACCCCACTCTAGCAATTATTCCGACATCATCAAAATGAGGACAATAGAAATGGGCTTCACACATTGTACCAATGTTGAGAATCTTTGGGACAAGAAAATACTTTAACCACACGGCTTACCCACTTCCTGGATGTCTTGAAATACATAAAGTTATGAATAGGGGCAAAAAAAACCCTGACTAATCCAAGTAGATGGTATTTATACATCTGGAGTAATTGCGTGAGTGAGAATGGATTTACGCTGCTTTTAGCAATATTCCAGCAATATCACGACAGGGGACACCAGAAATAGGCTTCAAACATTGTACCCATGTGGGAAATCGAACCCGAGTCTTCGGAATGACGAGCAAACGCTTTAACCACTAGTGCTAGACTACCCCACCGCCCCTATACAACTGGAAATATCCACATTACCGACGTGTTTTAAACATTAATGTGACAACAGTAATTGTGTGAGGTATTTTAATGAAAGAAACAGATTTCAAGTGAAAGGCTGTGAAAAAATGTTAATGTATTTGAACAATGAAACCATCTTCATTCAACAAAACTGTATATAAATTAAAAAGTGACTATTCTGTCATGCGTTTACATCCATCCACTATAGACACTTACAAGATCTATTCCTTCATAAGCCATCTATAAGTAATAATATATTATTATTATTATTATTTTCATATTAAAATTAACTTTAAGTATGAAAAGCTAAGATGACAGTCCATTGAAACTGACCGTTTGATATTCTGGGATTTTGTAAGGAGACTGGATATTTTATTAGCTACAGATACAAAACAGATATTTTTTCAGTTAAAATTGTGAGTGAAAATATTTTTTTTAAAAACAGACCTTGCAACAATGTAATCTTTGTGGCAGCAGACAATTTTTTGTCAACAGCCTGAAGCATGATTTCTTTTTTAAGCATTTTCTGAGACAATATATTTTGTCAATAAAATCCCTGGCCCCCCTAGAATATCAAATGGGCGTTTCCTTATAGTGTAGTTACAAAACTTTATGTTATTCTGATACTCAAATTCATAAACAAACAAAACAGAAATGTTTAAAGAGGATTTAAAGCTGAAGCACTCAAGCAAACAAACAGCCTAATAAGAATTTTATAAATGCGAAAAATAAAAATGTCTCACGTTTCCTGAAACAGGGCTTTGTGTATTTTTTAACTGCTTACTCTGTAGGGTAATTTTGAAATAAATTAAAAAGCCATCAGTTTAAAAAGCAAAGTTATGTTTTTGACGCTTCATTTCAAAGTTTATTCTTTTTTGATATGACAAGAGGCATTGATGTTATTATCTTTACAAACAATCTTAATAAAGCTTAAAAAAATATTCTAATAAAAGCATTTTGTCAATAAAACACATTAAATGGTTTTTCCCAATAATTATTTTTTCTGTTGCCAAATGTAGTGTATGTAGGCTTGCCAAGACCTTTACTGTCTCATCTTAACTTGAAAAATGATCGTATGAATATGATAATATCAAGACAATGTGACGAGTATAGAATAAGTTAGAAAGAGAATGACAATTTTGAAATCAGAAAAGGGAACTTGAAGATGAAATGTAAACACACTGGCAAGAGAAGTGGTATGCTACAAGGAACCAACGCTTACCATGCTATTGAGGTAATTGTCATCCAGAGAGCCACAGGACCCATGGCGCTGGAGAATCTCGGGGAGATCAGACTGGGGTAGGGACGTCCATGTTTTTCGTTTGTCATCTTTGGAGACTGGAGACTGGAATTGAAAACATGACGGGGTGATTTACTGTTTCACTTGACTGGGGGAGACATGGTCCCAGTTACAGCACACAGACCATAAAATCAGATAAAATTATGCAATGTTGGAGAAGGTAGAAGGTGACCCATCTTCCCGAGGCAAGAGTTTTAACTGACTATAAAAGTCCAGTTTCCACCCTTGCCGAACTAGGCTGGTATTATGGAGTTACATTTTAGCTGGACTAACGAGTTTATGCATAGTCCAATCAAAATCGTGCACCGAAATCGAAATCCGGTTCGTAAACTGTCGCGCAGATTTCGATCGATTGCAGGATTTGCAAAGCATGTGTTTTCATGTTTTTAATCAAGTTGCTTACGTGATTTGATGCATTTCGCGATGTAAGACCCATTTTATCACAATATAGATCTTGATTATCGATCTGATCGTCTTGACTGGGCGCAACCATTTTGTGTGAAGCAAACGCAAGTTATGGAATCTGATTGGTCCATAGGAGAGGCTTAAAAGGGACATAACTGGTAATAGCCACTGGTGGCGCTACGATCAAGCCCAGTAATTCCAGCCTAGTTCGGCAAGGGTGGAAACTGGACTTATAAAGTCAGTTAACTCTCTTGCCTCGGGAAGATGGAGGTGACCATGTTTGGAACTCTTGATTCCTGAGAGTTTCAAGGGTTTTGGTCCTGCCCCACTGTGAAATACATGTTACATGTGGTGTCTCCTTCAGCACTGTACGAAATGTGCCTCTGTTCACCCAGCAGTGAATGGGTACCCGGTAGGATGAGCTGGTGGCTGTTAAAATTCTAGTGCCTCATAAGGTAGCTTGGGTTGTATACTGCCCAGTGAGCTGAGAATGAAATTCCAGTGTACACTGACCAATTGACCCAGACATTGAGCATTATTTATGGTGTGGATTTCACACATAATACATATGCTTGTTGCGTTAACATTATTAAGGTTGTATCAAGGTAAATTATCGTTGTCCATCACATTTTTCAAATTGGTCAGTTGGTTGAATAATAATTCTACTTTATTTTTTATTTGCCACATCCTCCAATCCAAAGTCATAGTTGAACCCAAAGACCCCTGGCCGATAGAATGGAATGCATCAAAACGTAACTATCCAAATACAATAATATAATTTGACCCAGAAACAATGGTAAAAATATTAATCAAATGAGCTCCCCAAGAATATATTACATGAATCATCACACATTGTAATAGAAAAATTGAAATTGAAATATACTACTCAAAAGAAGTTGAAGAACACCCAATTTTTTCAGATTAACTATAATAATATGAAAGAATTAGGTGTTCTTTAACTCATTTTGAGTAGTATATACCTATTTACCAGGGTTACCGACAGAGTTAAAAATGGTTGTCAAGTTTAAGGAATGTTATACAAGTTAAAAAGCCTTTTCAAAACAGATTGAAATAAATGGCCTTTCCAGTGCTGGAGTGCCAAATTGAAGGCCTTTTCAAGCCTGTGCGATCTTTGTTAACCAAAGCCCCTAGACACGGACAAGGTGTTGAATTGTATATTCCCCACCCCAGGTTTCGAATCAGCGTGTATGTTCGGGGAAACGACCACATTCTTCCCATCAGGTAGTAAACCCTGGTCCTCCCCTGTGATTGTGTTGTGTCGTACCTCGTGTTTACAGTTTACCAACTATGTCAGAAATTTAAGTGAGATCTCATCCCATGATGACCCAGGAGGTGTTTACATCCCAACACCATATATCTCCAGCCTTATTAGCTCCATTGTGTTTTAAATGTCTCCTGAAGTCTTACATTTGTTTAATGTTTTGCCATGAATATATTACCCACAGGAATGGGGACATTTCTTTCTTGGTCAAATCTTGTCGCCCAGCATATCAAATAAAAATACTGGAATATAGGTAAATGTTCCATTTCTGTATTCACTGAACAAGGCTTTAAAATACCTAAATTATCAACTATTTTCTCCAATCACTATTATCAAGTTAACATTTTTCTATTACACCAGATACTATTTATAGACTGGAGTTTTGCTGGGATTGAAATGCTGTGACAGGTGATTGATGATCTGTTAAGAAACGTTTTTCTGAGTTTTTTCTGAGTAACCTAGATATGTGCAACATCTGACGCTGGATTTAGTGGGTCACATTTTTCTCAACACGGAATATGTCAAGGAGACGAAATAATTGAGAACACTTTATTGTATCAATATGTTTACAGATACATGTGTGTCTGTAGACTTGGGAGGGTTAACTGCTTGACATGTTATGATCAAATGTGTGTGTGAGAGTGTGTGTGTGTGTGTGTGTGTGTTTGTGAGAGTGTGTGTGTGCTTGCAGGTGTGTGTGTGTGTGTGTGAGAGAGTGTGGGAGTGTGTATGTGTAGTTAGGCGTGTGTGTGTGTGGGGTATATATGTGGTGTGTGTCTGTGTGTGTGGGGGGGGTATATATGTGGTGTGTGTGTGTGTGTGTGGGGGGGGGGGTATATGTGTGGTGTGTGGGTGTGTGGGTGTGAGAGAGTCTGTGGGAGTGTGTATGTGTAGATAGGCGTGTGTGTGTGTGGGGTATATATGTGGTGTGTGTGGGGGGGGGGTATATATGTGGTGTGTGTGTGTGTGGGGGGGGTATATATGTGGTGTGTGTGTGTGTGTGTGGTGTGGTGTGGGTATATGTGTTGTGTGGTGTGTGTGTGTGAGAGAGAGAGTCTGTGGGAGTGTGTATGTTTGTGTGGTGTGTGTGTGTGTATATTTGTGTGGTGTGTGGTATAAGTGTGGTGTGGTGTGGTGTGTGGTTAGGTGTGTATGTTGGTGTGGTGTGGTGTGGTGTGGTGTGGTGTGGTGTGTGTGTGTGTAGGTGGGTGTATATTAGTGTGGTGTGTGTGTATGTGTATGTTTGTGTGGTATATGTGTGGTGTGGTGTGGTGTGTGTGTGTGTGTGTGTGTGTGTGTGTGTGTGTGTGTGTGTGTGTGTGTAGGTGGGTGTATGTTTGTGTGGTGTGTGTGTATGTTTGTGTGGTGTGTATGTGTATGGTTAGATGTGTATGTTGATGTGGTGTGTGTGTCAGTGTTGGTGTGGTGTGTGTTTGTGTGTGTGTGTATGAGTGTGTAGGTGGGTGTATGTTTGTGTGGTGTGTTTTTATGTTTGTGTGGTGTGTATGTGTGTATGTTTGTGTGGTGTGTTTTTATGTTTGTGTGGTGTGTGTGTCTGTTTGTGTGGTGTGTGTGTATTTGTGTGGTGTGTGTGTGGTATATGTGTGGTGTGGTTAGGTGTGTATGTGTGTGGTTAGGTGTGTATGTTGGTGTGGTGTGTGTGTGTGTGTGTGGTGTGTTTGTGTGGTGTGTTTTGTGTGGTGTGTATGTGTGTGTGGTGTGTATGTCTTTGTGTGTGTGTGTTAAGGGGGTATGTGTCATCAACATGTCCTACTGTAACGTGATCCTTCCCAAATAACCCTCAACTGCCCTCACATCCCAATAGATTCATCTCATGACAACAACGTCTCTTTGAACAATTCTCTTTTCACGGTGCTCCACACTCTACTTCTATAATGACCCATCCTTAGGCTGTCAGATCTTCTGTTGACCCCCCTCTGCCACCAACTCTCAAGCCCATCCCTATAATAAATGACGGGGCCATGACCAATGTTTCATCTACAATTACAGGTCCAGAAACCTGTTTGACCAGGCTTGTCTGAGGCTCCACTGTTCAAAGGCAAATTCAATTTCGGCTGCAGCATTTTATGAATTGATCTTTTTAACAAGCCCAGCACTATTCACAGCAAAATACTCATATCAAAGTATGAGATTACACAGTTCAACTTTTAACAGTGAAACCCCCCAGCAAATACCCTGAATTACAAATGACATTTCTGGGAATAAAATACTCAATAACACCCATACCTTGTTTACCTCCTAAATACCCAGCGCTAGCCATACATATATCCAACACTGAAGCCATTGGTTGAAAGCCTCACTGCATTAACAATATTTCATATTTACAACAGTAGCGTTGTATTTGTTGGATCATAGATTTTTACAGCCAATGTTTGAAATATGAGAAGGGAAAATAGAGACGTCAGCCCCTCAATCTTGGCACCTTTTCAAACTCTAGAAGTGCACAAATGTTTTTTGGCTTTTCTTGGAATGCAGGGAGAATTTTTAACAAAGTCTTCATATCAAGGACCAGGGAAGTTAATGCATTAGCTACAACTGATTTATTTGGCAAATACAAATGTCAAATTGATCATCATTCATTTGTTGTTCTTCAAACACTGGTGTATCTCTTATTTGGGCTTATGTGATGTCACAATTGAAAAAGTAGTGCATTTTAAAATATTTTTTTGTCCATTTTGCATGAAAATAGGGTTTTCAAGTCTGTGATCCAATAAGCAAGAAATAATGGCCTACTAAAACTGTGGATGACTAGCCAATCATGTGTCGCAGCTATACCATCCTCCACTGGTACACACGGGGATACAACACCTATATACTAACCAGTGTTGACACCTGATAATTTGCAAGGGTTCAGTAGTTGTATATTGTCAGATACACTAATACTAGAAGACCCTGATGGGGTGATCATTAGTAAGTTAATAATAATGTTTATTAAAATCTATTCAAATGGGTTTTGAAATCGTATTTAGTTAGTAACGTACAATATTCTTTATTGAGATTTTGTATTTTTTTTCATGGAATTTGTGTTCCACCAACCAACTTTGACCAATTAACATTTCCTAATTAATCAATATTGATTAGTTGATGGTCTATTGCAACCACAAGTCTGTTTTTGGTCCCTGTTTGTTCAACTTTTACGATAAACAGTAATTTTTTATTATTTTCTAAGCAATTTTCCATGTAAAGTTTCTTTAAGCTTTAATGACAAAAGTCAGACTGATCTTACGCTCACAGCAGTGTTTCTGAGCCATATTACGCCAGTCAGTACCACCCATGTGGACCCTCCTATGACAATGATGCCATTATCCTCTGACCACACAAGTTGATTGCAATAGCTTAGCGTTGATGTTTGTCTACTCAGCATAGATTTGGGGGATTTAGTCAGATTATATTAATCCTTAATCTAAACTATTATGTGACTTGGGATTAGGTACTTACTGATATGATTCCATATGATCTATTGATAGAGATGGAAGAAACTGATCACTGAGGCTTCCGACACAATCTCATCCTACAATCCCTAAAAGTAAACATGGGAGTACTGGCATCCCTTTCTGTGGCTGAGTGAGGCTTTATAACCACTAGGCTATAGCACATCCTTCATAGAGAGGCTTTATAACAACTAGGCTATAGCACATCCTTCATAGAGAGGCTTTATAACCACTAGGCTATAGCACATCCTTCATAGAGAGGCTTTATAACAACTAGGCTATAGCACATCCTTCATAGAGAGGCTTTATAACCACTAGGCTATAGCACATCCTTCATAGAGAGGCTTTATAACAACTAGGCTATAGCACATCCTTCGGGGAGAGGCTTTATAACCACTAGGCTATAGCACATCATTCAGGGAGAGGCTTGATAACCACTAGGCTATATCCCATCCTTCATAGAGAGGTTTTATAACCACTAGGCTATATCCCATCCTTCATAGAGAGGCTTTATAACCACTAGGCTATATCCCATCCTTCATAGAGAGGCTTTATAACCACTAGGCTATAACCCATCCTTCATAGAGAGGCTTTATAACCACTAGGGTATAGCACATCCTTCATAGAGAGGCTTTATAACCACTAGGCTATATCCCATCATTCAGGGAGAGGCTTTATAACCACTAGGCTATAGCACATCCTTCATAGAGAGGCTTTATAACCACTAGGCTATATCCCATCCTTCAGAGAGAGGCTTTATAACCAACAGGCTATATCCCATCTTTCAGAGAGAGGCTTTATAACCACCAGGCTAGATCCTACCATCATCCTACTCCTGGTTGAGGCGTTATAGCCACCAGGCTGATCCCATCCCACTCCTGGTTGAGGCCCCATGGGACCTGGCAATTCTCACACAAATGCCCATAACAAGACAACATATTCTTCTCCTGAATCTCTACAAGCACACAACAGTAAATAACAGCACTTACCTTCTTTCTATCGGTGTTTGGGACGTACTCCCCGCACTGGACATAGCCGGCGAATCCTGGAAAAAGTTATCACCAGGTTTAATCATGGATGAACTCCACAATACATTAAAACAGTTTACGCATAAACAGTGCTAATTTGAAACCATGGAAAATTTGAAGGACAGACCACACAGAAATATAGAATATACAAGAAAGTACTACTAATATTAACAAAAAATCAACAAGTAATTGACAAAAATAGTTTTCAAATATTATTTAAGAAAACCTTGCTATATATGACCACATTAATGTTTTATTTCACATTAGGTTTCAATGTCTTTTGGTACTACTTGACATACGACTAATTTCTGCAAGAATATATGTCAAATGTGTCTCATTCTTTTATTTATCTAACTTAACCTACATAGGCCATCTGTACTGTAACAAAGGCAAAAACAAATAACAGGCTACAAACACTAAACGCATTTAATATGTTTTCCTATTCAGAAATACCTCTTAACTAGTTGCCCGACAGCATTACAAACTATTGATACTAATGGATGGCTGTTTGCACAACTACTTCTGGGTTGTCAATGAGATTAGAAAATAAACAGAACACAAGTACATGAATTTTCTCTTACCAAGATTAACACGAGTCGATCTCAATTGATCAATGCGGCCTCTTACAGTTAAATATGACTAACACTCAATCTCGGTTCAGCTTTCAGCAGCCTTGAGAAATGAAGAAGAGGGTTCTTTTCAAAGAGGATTCTTCAAATTAAATAAAATTAGCTTTCACTTTTAATAACTTTATTTGAATTTTTTTTTGTCTTTTGTATGTTTTGTATGTTTTCTCTACTAAAGAATAAATGATATTTTGCCATAATTAGCAACTTCTGTTAAACATGTCTAATCTCGCTGTTGGGTTAGCCTTGTGGTTACAGAATTGGCTCGTCAAACTGATGTTCTGGGTTCGATTCTCATGGATGGGGACAGTGTGAAAAGTCTATTTCTAATGTCCCCTTCTGAGATATTGACTAAAAACCTCACTCACTTACAAATGGTGCACTTAAGATCTGTTTTAACTGCATTCTAGATTCTTTTGTCAAAGGAATGAATGAGTGATTTTTGTTTAACACCACTTGAACAGTATTCCAGTTATATCACAGCCTGTCAGCTTAAAAAAAAAATGTGGGAGGAAAGATTGAAGTCATGCAGGTCTCAGATGTTTGGTCAAATGATTGAGTGAATGAGTACGGTTTTTGGCAATATTCCAGCAATATCTTGGTGGGACACCAGAAATGGGCTTCACACATTTGGGAATCAAACCTGGGTCTTCGGCATGACAGGCAAACGCTTTAACCACTGGGCTACCCCAACGCCTCTGGTCAAAGGAATATCCCTAGCTATGAGTCTGTGCAATAAGCATTAGTGAGTGAGTGAGTATGGTTTTACGCCGCTTTTAGCAATATTCCAGCAATATCACGGCGGGGAACACCAGAAATGGGCTTCACACATTGTACCCATGTTGGAAATCAAACCCAGGTCTCCAGCGTGACGAGGGACATTTTAACCACTTGGCTACCCGACCGCCCCAAATAAGCATTAAGACTTCAGCTTTGAGTTAGTGGGTAAGCATAAAGACATCCTTAGAGAATACCTATAGGTTAGATCATCAAATTATTTATTACACTTTCATCCAAAAATGTCTTTCTTAAACAAAGTGTTTGAGTCATCTGTGTACACTAACTGTCAACAGATGTGTACACTAACTGTCAACAGATGTGTACACTAACTGTCAACAGATGTGTACACTAACTGTCAACAGATGTGTACACTAACTGTCAACAGATGTGTACACTAACTGTCAACAGATGTGTACACTAACTGTCAACAGATGTGATTCACACGAAGCCTGAATGTTTAGTAGACACTATGTATGGTGTATTTCATCAAGTAAAGAGAAAAGAGATCACACAAAGATGCTTCCTTCATCTGTTGGTACTGGAGGACAATAAAACCATGTGAAGCAGGTGTTTTGTAGCGAGGCAGGTGGGATGAAAATCCAATAATTACCTTATTTTGACCTGTTATGTGGTGTGCCATTCAAACCATTGAGTATACAACTCATTCAAATATGCCCCTGATTATATATGCTGGAACTGAGGATACTAGTGTCATGAGAAATATAACATGTGTTGGATAGGGTTCAAATCAGATTTCCTTTTATGGCTCAATTATGTCTACCCTTAGTCTGAACAACAGTGGTGAATGCCTCCCGAAGGGTAGAGACTAGTCATTAGGATGAACCAGTAGCCTTAAACAACATTCATGAATACTCTTCTTTATGATATCCCGTGTGAAGACAAGGTGCTGCTGCTCCTGAGAAACTCAGGCTGACTGTTGGTATTGTCAAGTGACTTAGTACAGGAGCAGGATGGGACCCTTGTGTTGGTATTGTCAAGTGACTTTATTCAGGAGCAGGATGGGACCCTTGTGTTGGTATTGTCAAGTGACTTAATTCAGGAGCAGGATGGGACCCTTGTGTTGGTATTGTCAAGTGACTTAGTTTAGGAGCAGGATGGGACCCTTGTGTTGGTAGTGTCAAGTGACTTAGTACAGGAGCAGGATGGGACCCTTGTGTTGGTAGTGTCAAGTGACTTAGTACAGGAGCAGGATGGGACCCTTGTGTTGGTATTGTCAAGTGACTTAGTTCAGGAGCAGGATGGGACCCTTGTGTTGGTATTATCAAGTGACTTAGTACAGGAGCAGGATGGGACCCTTGTGTTGGTTGTGTCAAGTGACTTAGTACAGGAGCAGGATGGGACCCTTGTGTTGGTATTGTCAAGTGACTTAGTTCAGGAGCAGGATGGGACCCTTGTGTTGGTATTGTCAAGTGACTTAGTACAGGAGCAGGATGGGACCCTTGTGTTGGTATTGTCAAGTGACTTAGTTCAGGAGCAGGATGGGACCCTTGTGTTGGTATTGTCAAGTGACTTAGTACAGGAGCAGGATTGGACCCTTGTGTTGGTAGTGTCAAGTGACTTAGTTCAGGAGCAGGATGGGACCCTTGTGTTGGTATTGTCAAGTGACTTAGTTCAGGAGCAGGATGGGACCCTTGTGTTGGTAGTGTCAAGTGACTTAGTACAGGAGCAGGATGGGACCCTTGTGTTGGTAGTGTCAAGTGACTTAGTTCAGGAGCAGGATGGGACCCTTGTGTTGGTATTGTCAAGTGACTTAATTCACGAGCAGGATGGGACCCTTGTGTTGGTATTGTCAAGTGATTTAGTTAAGGGGCAGGATGGGACCCTTGTGTTGGTAGTGTCAAGTGACTTAGTTCAGGAGCAGGATGGGACCCTTGTGTTGGTAGTGTCAAGTGACTTAGTTCAGGAGCAGGATGGGACCCTTGTGTTGGTAGTGTCAAGTGACTTAGTTTAGGAGCAGGATGGGACCCTTGTGTTGGTAGTGTCAAGTGACTTAGTTCAGGAGCAGGATGGGACCCTTGTGTTGGTATTGTCAAGTTACTTAGTACAGGAGCAGGATGGGACCCTTGTGTTGGTAGTGTCAAGTGACTTAGTACAGGAGCAGGATGGGACCCTTGTGTTGGTAGTGTCAAGTGACTTAGTTCAGGAGCAGGATGGGACCCTTGTGTTGGTAGTGTCAAGTGACTTAGTACAGGAGCAGGATGGGACCCTTGTGTTGGTATTGTCAAGTGACTTAGTTCAGGAGCAGGATGGGACCCTTGTGTTGGTAGTGTCAAGTGACTTAGTACAGGAGCAGGATGGGACCCTTGTGTTGGTAGTGTCAAGTGACTTAGTACAGGAGCAGGATGGGACCCTTGTGTTGGTATTGTCAAGTGACTTAGTTCAGGAGCAGGATGGGACCCTTGTGTTGGTAGTGTCAAGTGACTTAGTACAGGAGCAGGATGGGACCCTTGTGTTGGTTGTGTCAAGTGACTTAGTACAGGAGCAGGATGGGACCCTTGTGTTGGTTGTGTCAAGTGACTTAGTACAGGAGCAGGATGGGACCCTTGTGTTGGTAGTGTCAAGTGACTTAGTACAGGAGCAGGATGGGACCCTTGTGTTGGTAGTGTCAAGTGACTTAGTACAGGAGCAGGATGGGACCCTTGTGTTGGTATTGTCAAGTGACTTAGTTCAGGAGCAGGATGGGACCCTTGTGTTGGTAGTGTCAAGTGACTTAGTACAGGAGCAGGATGGAACCCTTGTGTTGGTAGTGTCAAGTGACTTAGTTCAGGAGCAGGATGGGACCCTTGTGTTGGTAGTGTCAAGTGACTTAATTCAGGAGCAGGATGGGACCCTTGTGTTGGTAGTGTCAAGTGACTTAGTACAGGAGCAGGATGGAACCCTTGTGTTGGTAGTGTCAAGTGACTTAGTTCAGGAGCAGGATGGAACCCTTGTGTTGGTATTGTCAAGTGACTTAGTTCAGGAGCAGGATGGGACCCTTGTGTTGGTTGTGTCAAGTGACTTAGTACAGGAGCAGGATGGGACCCTTGTGTTGGTAGTGTCAAGTGACTTAGTACAGGAGCAGGATGGGACCCTTGTGTTGGTAGTGTCAAGTGACTTAGTACAGGAGCAGGATGGGACCCTTGTGTTGGTATTGTCTAATGACTTAGTACAGGAGCAGGATGGGAGCCTTGTGTTGGTAGTGTCAAGTGATTTAGTACAGGAGCAGGATGGGACCCTTGTGTTGGTAGTGTCAAGTGACTTAGTACAGGAGCAGGATGAGACCCTTGTGTTGGTAGTATCAAGTGACTTAGTACAGGAGCAGGATGGGACCCTTGTGTTGGTATTGTCAAGTGACTTAGTACAGGAGCAGGATGGGACCCTTGTGTTGGTATTGTCAAGTGACTTAGTTCAGGAGCAGGATGGGACCCTTGTGTTGGTATTGTCAAGTGACTTAGTACAGGAGCAGGATGGGACCCTTGTGTTGGTATTGTCAAGTGACTTAGTACAGGAGCAGGATGGGACCCTTGTGTTGGTAGTGTCAAGTGACTTAGTACAGGAGCAGGATGGGACCCTTGTGTTGGTAGTGTCAAGTGACTTAGTACAGGAGCAGG